AAAACCATATAATACCAAATTTTTAACTTTGTGCAAAAAACTATAAATATTAATTCTGCAAGGTTTCACCAAAATTTCAAACTTTTTAATTAGGATCCTTAGAAAAAAATTTGGTTTGCAGTTTTGTAACTCATTAAAATTGAGTATTATAAAGTGCGAGTGGAAAGGGCTGCTGATTTGCTTCACTTTTAAAAAAATGGTCGAACTTACTTACTTTGTATGAAAAAAATGCGTAACCGTCAACAAAAAAATTGGCAAAAATTATTGATAAGCCTTAGCAACTTAAAATTGCACTTTATTATACCAAAATTTAATGATCTTTTTTCATTGAAGAAGGCTTTAAGATCTGTAAGCTGTTGTGGAACAAATTTGCAAAATTATTTTTTGTCCCGTATTCGGCTCTCATAAATATGGTCACCGTAAGCATGGTGCATAGATAGCACAAATAGCTTGATTGTTGTTGTTTCATGTGTTAAAACAACAACAAAATTAGCCAATCATGCTATTTATGCTATCTATGCACCATGCTAGACAGTATGCACCGAATCGTGAATACCCCTAATGTTTCATGAAATGATTTCGTAAAATGACAAACGTATATGCATAATAAGTATCTTCAGCCCTTTACCACTGACTATAACCATATTTAAATTCTGGAAACCCATTGTCTGCAATTCCTTTGCTTTGATCGAATAATTGAAATGGGAATATTCATTCTCGAATTTCATATGGCGTACTTCGTTTTTGAACATTGAATTACGAATGGAGCTGCTGTTAGAACATAGCATAATTATTGATTGATTTCATTGAGCGAAACGTCAAATCAAAATGTCCCGCAGAACAAAAATTCGGAAATTGAGTTAGCTTCATACGCACGCCGTTCAATTTCGGTTGATCCCATACAAGTTGTATGTGCCTGAGTAATTTTTGACTGTAAATTGGGGGCGCGCGTGAATATTAGGTTAGCCTGTAATTGATTAGCCAACATCAATAGCCTCGTTGACTTTGTTTACATAAATATATATTTTCATTGATGTGCAATTTTTAGAGTTAATATCTTAGAACGCTGGCTATCAAATTATTGCGGTCACTAGATATCTTACCGTCTGGGCCGTCCCCGTTTATGGGAACATATACGAGAAAGTTCATTAAAGTTGGATCGTCGCTTGATGAATCCGAAGCCGAGACAATAAACCGTGCACTCGGAATAATCAAGAGTGGAATGCACTTGCAATTCGCACGAATAGCTGACCTACGATGTACAGAACTTCAAAACTGCAAGGAGTAATCTGGTCGCACTACAGCAAATGCTCAGTTATGCATACTTGGCAATGCATCAGAGTTGCTACATAACCCAGTGATAAAAGTAGTAATGCATTCCATGCGTGATAAATAATCGAATGTATTTCTTATGAGTTTTACATCCAATTACTGTTTATTATATAATCAGCATTCTAATGTATTTATTCAAAAAGTCAAAAAAATTTCATATTAAATTACATTCATTTCTCGCTACTAGGTAATGCAAAATTGAATGCCCCACTTTTCCAAGGACATCGCCTTGGGGGAAAAAGTGTATTTTCGAATGTGAAAAGTGTTGTTATTCAGATTATTTTTTCGATTACTATACCTTACATTTTCCCACTGGCAGGGAATCTGTTAAATGAGCTTTGCGCGTAAGCGTTTAACCAACGCACAGCACTATATATCGATGGGCCTCTGCAATAACGGCACAACTCAAAACTTCATGTTTTTGAGTTGTATATTTAGTTTATAAATAGCCATATTTTTCTGTGACAAATTTTTTTTTTGACCTCTCTAATGTATGTACATATGTACATTTTGTTTAACACATATGTAAAACGTTGAGCATACATTAGCAGATACAAATAAATTGGGATAAAAATTCATGTGTGCACCTGTTTAAGTGGCGACGGTATAC